TTTTCTGGCTACAGTGACGTTTGTTCGTCAGTGCTGGAAAATTGTGCAGCTGCAAAATAATGTTTTTGTTTTTTTTTAAATTTAAATTCAGTAAAAAAAAAAAAAGAAGAAGCTGTAACTCAGACGTGGTACAAAAACAAACTATAATGTGTAAAAACACAGATTTTTGACATGTTTACTTGCAGTCAACATGTAAATAAATGCCCTTTTTTCTGTGATTTATTTGTTTGTTTTTACCAGATTGGATCTATTAGTGAAACAGGAAAACTGTATAAAATAGGTTTAAAAAGTGATTTACCATTTTTCAGTCTTTACTTTTCTTTCAAATAACAGCAAATAACTGTAACATAATCATATTTTATGCAGATTTAAATACTTTTTTTCCCCCTTAATCTTACAATCAAACTTACACAAACAAATTATCATTTGTAAAAAAAACAAAACATATTTTTGATGTGGGTATTAAATAAAGTTTATTTACAGCCAACATGTGAATGAATATTTTTTCTACTGGGATTTTATTTACAGTAGAAAATCACTGTTTAACATATTGTCTGCATATAGATGATAATGTTTTTTAAAAATTAATTTTTATTCTTATTTATTAATTCAATATTTAATGTACTATTTTTCCCGCATAACAGCAAATACAATATAAATAATAATGTGCAACAACCCAAATGGTCGTATTATTATTAAGAATGTCTTTTTGTTTTTTTCTGTTTAGATATATTTTATTACATATCAACACTTAGGTTTGTATTTATTTATATATCTTTACTTTTCCTACTTGATGGGAGCATCTGTAACAGGATGGGGATCAATAAAGTCTTTCTGATATCTCTTAAATCATGATATTTTTCTAATAAATCTAAATCGTGCCTTTTTATGATAAAACGTTGTAAAAAGAACAACAGAGCATTTGTTAAAGTGCAGATTGTTAATGTGGGTGTTTTAGTTTTGGCCTGTTTTTCTAATGATTATTGATTATTTGTAATTTTGTGGGTAACAGAATGAATTATCTGTAAAATAAACACAGTCATTCATTCAGTTACCCATAAAATTACAGCGTTATTGCATTAAAATCTGCTAAAATCCTCACTATAGTACAAATATTTGTGGTTATTGTCACCGTTCCTGCAGTGTCTGGCCTTCAACACGTCCTCCTGTTGCTGCCGGTTCAGCTAAAACAAGCAGAAGCAGCTAAAAAGTCGAGAGTTTTAACGTTTAAACCTGTGAATGGTTCAGTTTGTCTCCTGTCCCGTCCGTCGCTGCACCGTATCGCTGTCTTCTGTGTTTTGTGCTCCGTCATAAACATCCCTCCGTCACTCTGATCGACTGTCATCACATCTGACAGCTGAGGCGGCACAACGATGATAAACAAGACGTTTACAGCGAGGAGACGTCCACGCCTCCAAACTCCCCACAAACACAAACACAAGGCCCAGGCCCGAGCTGCACAGTCGGTCCCACTGAATCCACATCAGACAATAAATCCATTCTGTCCTTTCTGCTCTCCACATTTAACAACTTCTCAGACTCCTCAACCAACAAACAGCCGGAGTCCAGTCGCCCTGTGAGGCTTTTAGTTCTTCCTGTGTGAGGCCGAGAAACTGTGTCGCTTCCTTCTTAGTTCCTGCTTCATAATTCTACATTTAGATATTTAAAAATGAATAAAATGTGTATGTTAGCAGCGCAGAGCAGCAGTGCAGGAATGGCTATCA